GGGCTGCTTGTGGGATCACCCACTACACATGGTTTCTGCTTGCCTGTTTTGGTCACAGGCCACCCAGAGTCATTGCTATGAGACAGGCAGCCATATAAATTGAATAAACAGATAATCATCTTTCCAAAGATGTGTCCTAAAGTTGACAGTTGTCCCATGAATCTGGCTTCCAGTGAGTAATCTGGCTTGGAGAGCTTTGACCTGTAGAGTCACAGGGAGTCAGCTACAGTTTGATGGAGGATGACAACAGCAACAAATCTAGGAAATGTCATTGTAGCCCACCGAGAAAGCCAAGATGACCAGAGGGAGAGATGGTTTTTTTGTAAGCAAATATACCCAAGGGGTCTTTCCCTCTCTGACTGCGGTTCCTGCAACTACCACTGACTGAGGGGTAACATACAGTTTTCCAGACCGACAGCCACTCGTACACCTGTCTGCTGCGAATTTCTTCAACCCCCTTTTAAGCCACTGGCCTTAGCAGCCACACCCAAGGCTACGTATTCCTTCTTTCTTTCCAGGAAAGTGGGAACAATGAGGTTGTCTTCATGATCTTGGACCTGGCCAACCTGGACTCCGTGCGAGCTTTTGCAGAGACGTTCTTGAGATCCGAGCCCCGTCTGGACATTCTCATCAACAATGCAGGTGAGGGAGGGCCGGAGGCAGGGGCTTGGGTGCTCCTGTTGGGTGCAGAGCAGATACACACCAGGGTATCTGGATGACAAAATGGGGAGGATCGTTGAGAACATTGTGGGTTTCAAGTGCTTCTCTTGAGAGTCCTGAGGCAGTTTGGCTATGGTTTGAGAAGAGATGTCCTACTGATGGTTTAATCAGCTTACCTTTCTGGCAGGTGTCACTGACAATAGTAAAACTGAGGATGGCTTCAACCAAGCATTCCAGGTCAACCACTTAGCTCACTTCCTCCTGACCCACCTTCTCTTGGACCGGCTGAAGCGCTGTGCCCCTAGCCGGATCATAGTAGTGTCCTCTGAATCGCATCAGATAGGGAAGATAGACTTTCAGAACATCCACAAGCCGACCGAGGGGAAATGGAAGGCATTTAAATCATACTCTAACAGCAAATTAGCCAATATTCTGCATGTCCGAGAGTTGGCCAACCGGCTGGAAGGATCCAACGTTACCTCCTATGCAGTTCATCCAGGTAGGTGGAAGTCTTGCTCAGAGGTGCCCAATAGGGTGTCCTCAAGGTCATGCTGAAGCTCCTCCCAAGCATTCCCCCCTCTTCTGCTTTCAAGTGGGGGGAGGCAAATCCTTTCTCCCCCAGCAGCTCTTCAAAGGGGGCTCCTTCGACCCACTTTGCAAAGCAGTGCAGTGATATGCCTCAATAGAAGGTCAGCCAGATAGGAAGAAGTTTGCCATCCTCTCAGCTCATAGGATGAGGCTTCCCCAAATCTCTTGCTCTTTATTCTCAGCCTTCTTCTTTTCCTTCATTCCCCCTCTCTTGGTGTGAGCATGCCAGAGCAAGGAGCTTCCCCACTGTGGGACAAGTCCTGTCCCACAGAAACTATTTTGTATCTTGTCCCACAGCCATTTTGTGATATCCTTTTTATGCTGATTTCGTCCACGAACCCAAAAGCTTTGATAAGGGAAAAGACAGAAAATTATTATTTATTATTAGTGATTTGAATTGGTTAGCCACTGGAGTGAATGGATTAATATGTGTGATGCAGCCCCCTCCCCCATTTGCATCATCACTCACCCACCCACTTCAGCTCGTGGTCTTCTGAAAAATATTAGATGTTGCCCAAAGACTGCCCAGTGGTCCAAGCTTCCTGTGGGAAACGGGTGGGAAACGGGTGCCGTGCCGACTGGTCCGTTCGCGATTTCCCGATCCGTCTGGGTAACCCTGAAAAGGGCTTCCTTTCCGCCCTCGTGCTGCTTCAACGGCCAACTGCTTTTGCTTTCAGGATTCATTAAGACCAACATCGTTTGCTCCTTTATGGGGTGGTTCCAGGTGTCATTCCTGTTCCTCAAGCCCTTCCTGCAAGACTGTAACGAAGGAGCTCAGACCACGATCTACTGTGCCACTGAGGAAGGCATTGAAATGCTCAGCGGGCGGTATTTTGCAAGATGCCAACAGAAGGAGCCCTGGCCGCAGGCCCGCGATGACGTCTTGGCCAAGAAGCTCTGGGAATTCAGCGAGAGGCTGCTGGGACTAACTGCTTAGACGGGGCTCATCTCCAGGGAGGAGCGCAGGGGGCCTTGGCGGTAACTGAAAGAGGGCTTCAGATTAAACTATGAGATCAAACTGAAGGGAATCAGAAAACCACCTAGGGGTTGTGGTGTATCCGATACAAGCGTTTAATTCCTGAGAAGTTTAAAAGCTGGAAACCGTCTAAGAGTTTGTTGTTGTGAGCTGCCCAGAGTTGTGTTTTAAGATGGGCGGCCATACAAATCTTTTAAATAAACAAACGCCATCAAGCTCTTGGTCTCTCTTTTCTCCACCCCTGGCCATTTTTCTGGACTTTCAATGATCTGTATGAAAAGGGCCCCTCCTTCCTATTCCCAGGCTGGGACCAGGAAAAGGGGTGGAAAGAGAATTTCCAAAAATAGCATCCTTTTCACCGGCACAGAGGAAGTGGGTGTCTCAGAGC